GTGGAGTGACCTGATCATAGCTCACTGCAGCCTCAAACTCCTAGGCTTAAGTGATCCTCTCTCCTCAGCCTCTTGAGTAGCTGGGACTAAAAGCATGTACCACTACACCCAGGTAATTTTTTTTTTTTTTTTTTGAGACAGAGTCTCACTGTGTTGCCTGGGCTAGAGTGCCGTGGCATCATCCTAGCTCACGGCAACCTCAAACTCCTGGGCTCAAGCAATCCTTCTGCCTCAGCCTCCCAGGTTGCTGGGACTACAGGCATGCGCCACCATGCCTGGCTAATTTTTTCTATATGTTTTTAGTTGTCCAATTAATTTCTTTCTATATTTTTAGTAGAGATGAGATCTCGCTCTTGCTCAGGCTGGTTTCAAACTCCTGAGCTCAAACAATCCACCCGTCTCGGCCTCCCAGAGTGCTAGGATTACAGGCGTGAGCCACTGCGCCCGGCCCCAGCTAATTTTTTTTTTTTTATTTATTGTTCCAGGGTTTTGTGAGGGTTCAAACATTGTAGTTACACTTTATGTCTTTACCTCACCCAAATGCGGGTTAAAGGCATGCCTTTCCCTCCCTTTAGTGCTCCCCGTGTCCTTTAGTTGTAGATTTGCCCCCCCATTCCCCTAATCCCTAGAGAGTATTTCTGCCATGTGATCAACCTAGTGTTGATCAGTTAGTACCAATTTGTTGGTGAGTACAAATGGATCCCGTTCTTCTGCTCTTGTGGTGCTCACTTTGGATAATGGGCTTAAGTCTAATCCAGGAAAGTATAAGAGGTGCTAGATCACTGTCGTTTCTTATGATTGAGTAATATTCCATTGTAAACATATACCAAATTTTGATAATCCACTCATGGATTGACGGGCACTTGGGTTGTTTCCACATTCTTCAATAGTGAATTGTGCTGCTTTTGAATGTTTTTGTAGACAGAATCTCACTATGTTGCCCAGACTGGTCTTGAACTCCTGGCTTCAAAGAATCCTCCCATCTTGGCCTCCCAAAGCACTAGGATCGCAGGTGTGAGCCACTATGCCCAGCTCAAATCTAATTGCTTTTACAATCAATTTCAAATTCTAGATCAGTCTCATTTTCATGTATTAAAAAGCTTATCCTCCCTAAGTCAAAATGTTAATCTTTCATTCAGTTCAAAGCTTCACTTCTTCACATACATAGACATAAGCACATGAAGAATGCTCTATAGCCAGACTTTGAAAGGAGTGAAAGATAATCTTCTAAAACATTTTTCATAAACTGTAAAAAAAGAAAAAATAAAAAAAAGTCAAATGCCTCTGGAATGGGTGTTAGCACCCTCAGAGCAAACACTTCCCCATGCTGGTATTTAGAACTTTCAGAATGTTAGCTGCCTATTTACCCAATTGCTTTAAAGCCAGTGCTACCTGCTTACAAGCCCTTGCCTCCTACATGAATCTCCAATCAACTTTTTTTCATTACCTGACTCTTAAATAATAAAGTAACTAAGAATCTGCAGAAATTTAGAGAAACCCTTCAACATGAATGATGAAGATCAAAATAAACAAATTTTAAATGACCCTAAAGACAACAGAGATATTTTAGTGAACAGAAAATAACATTACAAAAATTCTAATCAACATTCTCCAAGAAGTGCAACTGAACAATTAGATCATGTTGGAGCATGAGAATAATGGACTCTTACTGAGAGGTCTCCAGGAAGAAAGGAAATTTAACAGAATCAACTACACTGAGAGATTTGAAAAAAGATTGGCATGAGGATAAAAAGTGGGAGGACATAAAGGCAATTAGAAACTCCATGAAAAAGAAAAGGCTGCACAAGAAATGATATGTGACCATAGATACTGTTTACTTGTGGTTAACAATATTTTATTGCCATAAAACTTACCCTATTATTGATTCTCTACTTTGAAAACTATCTCACCCAGAAGGTATAACCTAACCCTCAAAAGACAAATACCAAACACTTATCAAAGTCATGGCTCAAAGGGTCTTTAATTTTTATCTCACACATGGCCACTTTATTACACATACAAAACTAACATTCTTTTGTTTTATGGAAAAGAAAAATTCAAAAGGTGTGTGTACCAAAACATAAATTATGGTTAACTAAAGGTGTTCAGATTTGGGGGCATTTTTATTTCTTCGTCCGTTTTGTTTATGATTGCTTTCTAGATTTTCCAAAATAATTATTGTAATAGTCTCTTACATTAGTGACTCACAAAGAATAATGCTTCCTGATATTCACAGCCTTGTATAGTCCCAGCCCCATGAATCTGAGCTGGTCTGAGATCACATAACCAATAGAATGCAGGAAGAGTGGTAGCATGCCAGTCCTGAGCTTAAGCTTAAGAAAGTAGTTCTGTTTTGCACTCTTAGGAGCCCTGAGCCACCATGTAAGAACTCCAACATCCATGCTGGAGAGACCCTGTGTAGAGAACACAAAGAAATATCAACCAAAAATTCTGTATTCTAAAAAATACCTCTGTGTGTGGGAGTGCAGACGTGTGAGTCTGGAAATACATCTGAGTGAGAAAGGATACATACCTGTAATATACTCAGTGTGCTTCTTATAATTGCTGTGGTGGAACTCTATCACTAAATAAGAACAGGGTTGTGTGCCTTTATAATTTATTGACTGCCTGACACCCAGACCATAACTCATCCTGGTCTCTGTAATTATACAAAGCTCTGAACACTCTGTAATCATTTATTCATACAAACTGTCTCCAGCCTGGAGGCACACCATTACCATTCATACCTGGGAGCCTAGAATCACCAATGATTCCATGAAAATTATTTCTCTACTTGAAATTTGAAAGCATCGCCCCGGGGGTAATTTGGCCAAAAAGTCATGTGTTCTTTCTGTAGTGAAACAGCTGATCAATTTATTGATATTTTGGTCAGAGATAACAAGACCAAGAGTTTTGTCTCCTCCAAACAGTTTCAGTATTTGCATAGGTCTTTTTCAGTTCATGAAGAATCAAAACACCCAGAATTTTATGCCATCCTCCAAACAGCTTTGAATGCCTGGCTCCAAAGCTGATTATTTTCTAGTCTGTTTTTCTGCCAAGAGAATGTGGCCAAGATGAAGTACGACTAGAATTAGAGCTTGTTATCACTAACCCCAGTGCCTTTTCCGCCATCCTCGGTGGCTATTAATTTCTTTCTTCCAACGTGATTAACACAGAGATTCCTATTCATAAAAATAGATCTCAGAATGAAAACTAATTGTGTTGTTTCCTCATAATCAGTGACTCCTTGAAAGAACCTGGACCATAACCCTGGCTCCCATCTCCATGACACAGCTCTTTTCTCTGAACTACCACTAAGGCATCAACCAACCAAGATCCAATGAGCAGGAGTGGGATGAAACTCCAATGAGGAGAGAAAACTTTTTGAAATTTTTCCACTCCAATATTCCACATTCAATTTTCTTTTGTGGACTAATTATCTGAAGAATAGCCTAATGTCTTCCTTAGATAATCCCACACAGCCTCTCAGATTTGGGTATTTATTTTCATTAATAAATAGAAACTTTACAGAGATTACCCTCTATCCCACCCTCTCAACTCAGGAGAGGAGTGCAGCTGGACCCTCCACCACTGGTTTGGGCAGAAGCTGTCCTGGGACTTGGGGATCACTCTGAGCTTCCTATGAAGATGTCGATGTCAGAATGTCCAACCTTTGAATCTGTGTCACACAAAGGGTTGTATTTCTTGTTTTTATTCAAATTAAAACTAACTCTTCCTTCCCAATTTTCTCAATTTGAGAGTGTGGTAGTCAGCATCCTTAGCCTTTTTTGAGAATCATTCTGTACCACATGAAATAATGGTCCTCTTGAATGCACTTGCAGGAAGAGCTGGCTATGTCCCAGGCATTCGGTGACCAGGACTCTGTTCCACTTCTGCAGACTTCTCACCCCTGCCTGGAAAGATGTCAGCCAAAGAAAATGAGTTTATAGGCTCTAATACTCTATAATTATTTGTTTTTGTTCCACAATACAACTACCCTACCAAACCCTAAGATGTCCAAGCTAGAAACATTGTCCCATCCCATGGCCTAGTCCTGTCACTTTCAATAGAAAATATTATCATATATGCTTTCCCTGTGATCAGAATCAGAAACACTCCACACCCCAGCCACAACAAAAAATAAAAAGCACCTCGCAGGCCCGATGAAGCCATAGAAGCACTAGCAAGATTCCCAGCAACACTGCTATTATTCCTGTCTCCCTTGGGTCCCATAGGATCCCACTCTAAAAAGTAATAATGATCCAGAAACTCTATGTTTCTACTTTAGATGTTACAAAAATAATCTACAAAGCCAAGCAGAAACAAAAAGGCTCCCATCTCTTCCTTTGCCATCACCTCCATTCTCCATGCCATACCATCCACGACAGGGTACTGGGACAAAAGAAAAGACAAAGACAGGCAACAGAGGAACGAAGACTTAAATTCAGAGGACGTGTGGAAACTAGCTTGTAGATACTTGAAAATGGCCGTAAAAATGTTCAAAATTTGTGTGATGATAAGTAATAAGCTGCCTCTTGGCTAAATGTTTCAAAAGCTGAGAAACATATTGTCCACATTAACTGTGTGTTATGTGGACACAAAGCATGTGTGGGGTGTGCATAGTGTGTGTACACGTGTGCATGTGCGTCTATCTATACACACAAACTGGGGAGCACCAGCAAGCTAAGCAACTGTAGTATAATCACCATAGATGACCTCATTTTGATGATTGGGTAGCCAGGAGCAATGATGGAGAGAGGACGTTGCACTGTATACCCTTTCATGCTTTTTGAATTTTAGACCTTGTAAATAAAATATCTATTTAGTAAATAAATAATATCAAATTTTTTAAAATAGTAAAAGAATACATAAATTTGCTAATACCTTCTGGAAATAAGAAAATAAAATAAAAATTTTAGAAAGTATTGCTTTTGGGCTTCTGCCCTGACTGCGACTCCCGCCCCACAGAGGGATACTGTGCAGGTGCAGACCCATCTGTCTCACTGTGTGTCAGCCAGGATGCAGTAGTACACAGCAGTGTCACTCAGGGCCACCCGGGGCAGGCTCAGGGTGCTGGACTTTCTGTCGGCAGGGATAAACAGAAATGCCACTTCATTTGTCACATTTGTCTTATATCCTTGAATAATAAATCGTGGTCCCTGGTTGGGGAACTGTTGGTACCAGAAGATATAATCATTTGTAGCAATGTCTGTGTGGCTACAGGGTATGTTCACTTCTTGTCCTTCATATGATTCCATGGCGATGGGCTGGGTGGTCTTAGCAAGGCTCAGAGTACCTATGGGAGTGAAACACAATACTAGCTGAATTAGACAATCCCTCTCAGCACCTCCGTGGTTCTCTCTCATAGTCAAATCCACCCCCACATCCTACTTTTCCGCTGTATACATATCAAACAATTTATTTCTTATTTGTGTTGTGGGGCAAAAATATTCTTAATATTTATTATATGGAGGCCCAGGAAAACATGTGGAAGATCTACTTACTCCACTCCCCACCCCATGGATGGACCATATAAATTAGAAACCCAGAAAATCTTTACTGCCTTGAGACACACCACATATAAAAGCCTAGGAGCTGCCTAGAGAAAAATAGGACCCCAAAGTTATCCCTCAACATAATAAGCAATTAGCAGGCAAGATTGCAGATTCTTATCCAGCATCCTCAGGCCCAGATCCCAATTCTTTTTTTTTTTTGAGACAGAGTCTCACTGTGTTTCCCGGGCTAGGGTGCTGTGGCGTCATCCTAGCTCACAGCAACCTCAAACTCCTGGGCTCAAGCGATCCTCCTGCCTCAGCCTCCCGAGTAGCTGGGATTACAGGCCTGCGCCACCGTGCCCAGCTAATTTTTTCTATATATTTTTAGTTGTCTGATTAATTTCTTTCTACTCTTAGTAGAGACGGGGTCTCGCTCTTGCTCAGGCTGGTTTCGAACTCCTGAGCTCAAACAATCCACCCGCCTCGGCCTCCCAGAGAGCTAGGATCAGATCCCAATTCTTAACCCCAAAATAACTCACCCAGGATTAGGAGCACGATCACTCTTGCCACCTGCCTCATAGTCTAGGTACAAACTAGGACCCAGGTTCCAGGCTCTTTTGCTGCGTCTGAGCTGGGAAGAGCCCAGCAGCAACTGCCAGGGCCCACAGCAGCAGCTCTCAGCTGGGGCTGTCCCCAGGAGAGCAGCCAATAGCAGGGCAGCAGCTCCTCAGAGTGGAGCTCCCCTCAAAGTTCAACTGAACCTCCAAGATGAGTAGGGAGCAAAAACTACCAGTAGCAAAGCATAGCAGTCTGATTTCATCTTAGATCTTTGCTGAGGTCTAATTCCTTAAAGATTTGAATGAGGCAAATCTATGAGCGGGTAGAGTCCATCAGGCTCCTTATTCCTCGTTACATTTCCAAAGCTCTAGAGGCTGGTCATCTATTGTGGTCAGTCTGGCACTCATGGGCTCATGGACACTCATGGCTCTGAGGGTCCTGACCTGGTACTTTCTGCCCTGAAATGCTCCATTGATCCTATTTAGCCAAGAAGAAACAGAGAATCCTAATCTCATTCCAGAAAAGAGCAAATGAGGCCATCTGAACTGGACCTTCCATCTCCTGACACCTTGCTGTCCTTTTCTGGTCCTACTAAGCCCACATCTAATATCTCTTCTCAAGCCCTGTTTAAAGGTGTTACCTACCAGCTAGGGTAGGTAAGATATTTGTGTGGACTCATTCATATAACTAGGGAAGAAGTGAGGTGAAAAAGAAGAAAAGGCACAAGTTCAAAGTCAAATGGATCTAAATCCAAATCTCAGCTCTGCCACCTGTGACCGTGGGCAACTCACTCCTCAGAGCACTGATTTCTTCACCTGCAAAATGGCAACAATAATACTTATTTCAGGTTCAGCCTATGGCATGTAGTCAAAAGTAAATTCTAGTTCCTTCCCCTTCCTTTCCTTCTCATTTGACTCATACGCAAAGTACCACGGCTAGTAGAAAGCAGTTATGTAGGATTACACATATGATTTTTAAAAAATGTCATTCACCCTTTCTTCAAGAAATATTCAGTATAAACTCTATAACAGTAACAGCCATTCAGGAAAAGATCCATATCCAAAAGATGCTGTGATGTTAATTGAATCAGCCAAATGATGTAAACAGAGCATGTTAGATACTCGCATTGATGTGGAGAAGATAGTGTGTTGAGTTTTTTCCTCATATAATATGGACATGGAAAAAAATCACTGGAAAATACTCAGGAAGTGCCTCTTCTATGTCTAGAATTGCCCAAAGCATTCTGAATGAGCAATTTTTTTCTATTTTCCCATGCAAAAAAAAAAAAAAATCAGTGAGTGCTAATGACTTCTAGTAACATTTTGACAGAGTAGATATCACAAGTCATGAAGTAAATAACCAGATTTCACTCAGTATCAAATGCAGGAAAAGGAAGTTTTCTGAGGGAGTTGAAAATACTAGGGCACCTTGCACAGAAATGAAAATAAATGGCTACACTTTAGATTCAAAGCAATGGCGACCTCGTGTGGCAGATATTCAAATAGAAGAAACATGTCAAAATCAATAGGTCTCAAACCCATGCAACTTATGGATCTTACCATATTTCTTTGCTAAACGTAGTGGCAGGTAGCTCACCTTGGACCGTGGAGTCTATTTTATGTTATGGAAGAAAACATCGAATGAGGAGTTGGACAAACTGGATTGTAAACAATTCTCCAGACTTGATAGCTGTGCAATTTTGTGCAAATCACTTACACTTTGGGAGGCACAATTTCTTCACCTCTGCAAGACAGATTGTAAGGATCAATTAAATGAGCATAAGTAAGTTCTTTCTAAACTAGAGTATTCTATAAAAATATAAACTATGTTTAACTCAGGGAATAGCACCAAACCAAAATGATCTTACATTTTCAAGCCAACAAATGGAACTTGATGTTTCTGTGTCGCCACCTGTTATCTCACTTAGGAGAATACCACTGGATACCAAGCAATGGGAGGGAGACACACCAGGAGTTTTTCCACGCTTCAGCCTATGGAATGAAAGCAATCACTGATGGTAGTGGTATGTCATGGGTTGAATTGTGTCCCCCCCACCCCCTCCCAAAAAATATATTGGAATCCAAACCCCTAGTACCTCAGAAAGTAACCTTATTTGAAGACAGTTTTTGACAGAGATAAACAAATTAAAATGAGGTTATCTGGGTGGGCCCAAATCCAATATGACTGGTGTCCTTATAAAAAGGAGGAATTTGGACACAGAGACACACTCGAATAGAGGGAAAATTTAAAGAGAGGCCTAGAACAGATTCTTCTGTCAGAAGGAACTAACCCTGCCAACACCTTGATTTCGGACTTCCTGCCTCCAGAACTGTAAGACGAAAAAAAATTTATGTTGTTTGAGCCACCTAGTTTGTGGTACTTTGTTATGGCAGCCCTAGCAAACTAATATATGGTGCTGATAATTATGTTATATATCATATATGTTGTATTGGTTAATATTATATGTCAACTTGGCTGGGCTAAGGGATGCCCAGATAGCTGGTAAAACTTTATTTTGCAGGGTGTCTGTGAGGGTGGTTTCGGGAGAGATCAGCATTTGAATCAGTGGACTGAGTAAAGGTCTCCCTAATTAATACAGGTGGGCATCATCTAATTTGTCGAGGGCCTGAATAGAGCAAAAAGACAGACGAAAGGCAAATTTGCTCTCCCTGCTAGAGCTGGGACATCCATCTTCTGAGAAAGATCCGGTGGTCCAGTGAGAAGGAAGAGAGCTTTAAAAGGAATGATAGTCCCCATGATAAGTTCCATGACAGGGAAGGTAGAGTACTATAGGAGCATGCAGGAAGTGAAACTGTTTTGGTTGTGGGGTTCCAGGAAGGCTTCCCAGCCTCAGGTTTAGTTGACACTTCAACTAAAACCTAGGGAAGAGGGAGAATGAGCCTGACAAAGACTGGGCCAAGTAGAAAGAGGCTGCAAGCACAGCATCTGGACAGACTTGGAGCAAAAGTGGGTGGCACTCGGGTACATGGTGGTACCATTGTCTGATTAAAAAATACAAAAGAATGAGCAAATTTATCTTGTTTTGTGTTGTTTCATTTTGTTTGAGGATGGGAGAGAGATAAAGAGCTAAGCTTTGCACCATTTGATTTGAGGTGCTTCTGGAAAATCCACATAGATCAAAAACCCAGTCTGACATATTGAACTGAAGCTTAGAAGAGATATCTGAGCTGAAGATAATCAGCAAATAATAGCTGGAGTATGAGCATAAATAAAATTACCAGCGGAGATTTTGTAGACTGAGAAAATAAGTAGGTCAAGGGCAGAACCCTCGGAGCACCAACATTTAAAGGGTGAGCAGAAGAAGACACACCGACAAAAAAAGACAGAGCAGGTTCAGCCAAAGACATCAGAAAATAAAATGAGAGAGATGTCCCAGAAGCCATGAGAGGACAATGTTTCAAAGAAAGAACAGTCATTCATTCATTGGATTTAATCCAAGAAATGGACTAAAACTTGGTAAGAATAGTTTGGGGCAGTGGTGAAAGCTATTAATAAAACCACACTTCAGTGGGAAGAAGAGTGAGTAAAAAGAGGGACAGAGACAATTGTCTGATGGCCTCCCAATAGCATCAGATGAGTTTATGCCATCAAACATATACTTGAGTACCCATTTACTCTTTGCTACTCCTATATTGTATAGTTTATATAATTGCTAATTTAATAATTAAATGGAATATCATTTTATTTAATACTTGTTTGTTATTGACACTGTTAAAGGAAGCATTTTGTGGGATCTTTGTGGGATCCCTTCAGTGCTGAAGACAACAAGTGACAACAGCCTCCCTGCGGCCCCTCCTAAAATCCATGGTCTTGCACTACAGTGAAACCCCCAACTCTTGCATGTCACAGAAGCACAACTTTTCAGAATTAGAGTGGACCTCAAAGATTCTTGCAGAGAACCCAGTGGAACTCGCCATATAATCAGACACGATCAGAGGAGGGAGGACTGAATGTAGCACAGGATGACTCAGTGGGGAAGGGCATCCCCTGGTACCCAGGCAGGGGCAAGTTTTCACATGGCTAGAGATAGCTGTCTACATAGTGTTCTCAGGAAAACCAGGACAACTTTGCTGCCCCAAACATGTTTTTCTATCCCCATCTTCTCTAAAAAGCTTAAAATTACATTTCAGGGACAAAAACCATGACTTCACAAATAATTTTTTTAAATGTTGTTGCTTAAATGCAACTCAACCACAATGTAAATAGACAATATTAGTTCCTTTCCTAAAAGCAGGCTTTCAGGTATAGACGATGGAATTATAATACAGATGCAGCTGATGTAACAGAAGCCAAAGTATTAATAATTAGCTTAAACAAGATAGGAGAGAGTATTTTTTTTCTTACGTTACAGTCCAAATATAAGCAGTTCAGGGCAGATATACAGGTTCTATAGTGTTGGGAGCCTCAATCAGTATCTGATTGCTATGCCACCCTCAACAGCCACTTTTATTTGGGATCCAAGCCATATGTTTACATACAACAATAATCCTCACAACAATCCTTATAATTATCTCAATTTCATTAATTAGGAAATGAGGCACATAGATTACAAATGGCATGTCCAATGTCACATAGTTACTTAGAGCTGCGGTCCCCAACCCCTAGGCCATGGGCAATACCAGTGTGCGGCCTGTTAGGAACTGAGCCATAGAGCCCCACCCCCAATCTGTGGAAAAATTGTCTTCCATGAAACTTAGGAACCAGGCCGCACAGCAGTAGATGAGCTAGCAAAGCTTCATCTGTATTTACAGCCACTCCCCGTCGCTAACATCACTGCCTGAGCTCTGCCACCCCAACCCCATCGGTGGAAAAATTGTCTTCCATGAAATTGCCAAAAGGTTGGGGATCACTGATAGAGGAAGAATCAGAAACATCCTATGCTTCCTAATTCTTAACTCAGTCTTTTTTCCACAGAGTTCTTGAAGTGAGATAAAAGGGGGATAAAAAATGAATATTATGAAGAGAACTTCTATGGAATTTCTAGTTTTGTCTGAAGCCTACCTCGTTATAAGGAGTATTTTCCGACAAACAGGAAAATAGAATACTAGGCTAACTTTTCTGTTCAAAGTCAAAA